TGCCAGCACTGCGCTGACTGGAATCACAAAACAGACTGCTTAAGAAAAAGAAACAGTTTTATATCAGCACAGTGTGCACTCTGCAGCACTACCTGACTGCTCAGATCTGCGTCCCATTTACTGTGGTGGTCCTCAGCTTCCATGAGAAACTTTTCATTTTTAAAATGCATTATGACCAAATCTTTATAAATTGCAGGGCGGGGGAGAAGGGAGACTGTTAATTTCCTGTTTGGTTCTTAGGAATTAAGCTTGTACGCCTGCACCACACTGACCTGGCTTTGCTAGCGTAAGTTGTCACAGGGCATTATTCTGTACCTTTTGGATCTGCTCAAGACACATTCCCCTTCAGCCTGCAGTATTTTCACATTCTGCCTTACAACTATTTGCATGACAGAATCTCTCTGCTGGGTGCTGCACTAGACACATCAGGGAGGTAAGTTTATTCACATTTATTCACAAGTCTATTAGCATAAACATCAGGCCACAAAGGGAACATCCAGAGAATGCTTTTCCCTTACCTGCAACGCCACTGTTGCTTGAGACACACCACAAAGGCCATACCTAATTATGCAGCAAATAATTATGCACCCTAAAGTAATTTTAACCAAGCTACAGCTATCAATACGTAACATCTAAAACAAATAATCACACTGGACAGAGACCTGCCGGTTCTAACTCTTCTCTTGTCTGATTCCAAATCCAGAGCTGTTTGGTTTGTGCACTATAAGCTTTTTACCTTTGGACTCATTTTTGTCCTCATCTGTTTCAGCTTCAAGTTTGAGGCCATGCGGTTTCAGACTGTTGGCAACAGACTGCATCTTGCTTATTGTCAGTTGATTTTGATTCACTTTCTTAAGGGCATCTGACACAGCGTGGCTTCCAGCCATACCACCTCCGGCTATTCTCTCACCATCTAGGCAGTGCCAGGTTCCGCTAGCTCGTGAATGGGAATCTTCCCTCTTCACCCAAGCCTGCCCCCGATCCCACAACAGGAAAGCGAGGCTGTTGAAAGAAACAGGAATGGCCACAAAGCTGGCATTGTTGTCCTGAAAAACCACTGGCTGCAGCCCACCCGCTTCATTTAGGGGATAACGGATCTAAGGATGAATCCCAGCTTTTGTTTAAAAAACTTACTTGCCTTTTTCTTTGGAGAATGACTTGAAAATGGTAACAATGTCACTGCTGTAGGCAAAAAGAGAACCGGGGAGGGGGAAGTGGCACTATTTTTCTAAAAGTCACAGTTGTTCAGGGTGGTCTTTGGGGTATGAATCTCAGATCAACTTCACACTGGTGCAGTTCATGGAGGAGGAGGGAAGCACCATTCAGGATCCCGTTGACAACAGTAGGGCATTTTCAAGCTCTTACTGATGGAGTTGCCCTGCTAGTCTGAGGAAAGATGAGACTAAGAAAGTGTTCAGCATATTAAGCTGGTTATAATATGAAGACCTTGGACTTATATTTTGAAGACTTCAGTGACCACTGTGATCTCTGTGTCTTCCCTTTTGTGTAGATCAGAACACAGTAGTCCACCCGACAGTCCCTGGATAAAAACCAACTAACTGTGGTTATGTTAAGTGTGTTATTGACCATGCTGAATGAAGGAATGAGGCTTGCCGAGGGTCCTGTCTTGTATGGTAAGAAGTTTATGATTTGCAGCCTCATCACATATTCAGTGGTCTCTACCCTGCCTGTTACCTTTTTGTTAACAGCAAAATTCTTCTCCTGGACTCTTTGTAGGAAAAATTGTATCTAAATACAAATGGATGCTGCCTTTGTGTCCATGGACCAAAATTATCACTCCAGATTGGAAGATATAAATACAACAGGTATCAGTTATATCACTCACTCCATCATCAAGCAACAACAATAGGTTAAACTTGAAGATAAACTTTTATAGGACCTATAAGCAGCACCCTAATGGACCTATTTAATGATGTCTCCATGTTTTCACAGTGCAGCTGTCCGTAATAGTGGTTTTTGCAGTGAGTCCAAATGACATTAGTGGCAGATTAGGAATCTGACACATCAATTAGTAATCCATTCACTTTTTCCAAAGTCTACATCAGAAACTATCTGTGAATGCCAAACTGGGCTTGTGATCTCCACAGACATTTGTTAGTCTTAGGGCAAGAAGTAATAAATCTCAGCTTTTCTACACTCATAAGGAAACCAGCCTTCAATAAAGCTCACAATTATGGCTCTCCAAAATTTATATTTTTGCCAATATGGATGTAAGTTTTGACTGGAATTTTTATTAGTTAAGAAACTTGCACCTAGTTTTCTTTGGTTTTCATTTTTAAACCTGAGGCTCACGTCAGCTTCTTTGTCTTCACTTCTGCAATGTGTTTCCTTACATTTCACAGTAATGTACTTTTACAAAACCACAAGTTTGTAAGCAAAGTGTACAAACAATCCTTCTATTTGCACAGGACATGCTGAAAGAGCATCCTGTTGCAGTTCAAAACCAGACAAATAAGGAGAATTCTGACACCTAGCAGGGTCAACAAAAAGAGTCCTGTTGACTGCAAGGCCAGAAAGGCACCAGTGAATCGACCAGACTTTGAAATAAGTGACTAAGGCACTGCTGGATGACAGTATAGAGGGATGATTTTGATGCTCACGTTGGGTGATGGACAGATAGCATTTTTTCCCCTCTGTTTTGATTTGGCACATTGGGGTTTGATTATGCATGCTTATGGCTGGGCTTAAGCAAGGGAAGAGGGGGCAGAGGGCTGGAGGGCTTGCTCCAGTGTGTGATAGAGAATTGCTACTCGTTGTGAAACAGGCTAACCTGGAACACGTCCCCAGAGCACCTGTGGCAGCAGAATCCTGCCAGCAGCTTCTCTAACCTAACCCAGAACCCAGATATTTATTTCAGTTGGAGTCTTACTGGCTCACTTGCCTTCTCAAATCTACATTTCCCAGACCCAGGCACCTTAGGTCCCTAGACTGGCTCTTACAGACCCTCCAAGACCCTCCAGTACTCAAATATTCTTCCCAGTCTCTCTTGCCTGAGCCTGTTCTAGTCTCTTCTCTCTCAGTAAAGTGGCTCACGAGGCTGTTAGAAAATGCAGCCTCCTTTATAATTTGTCCTTCTTCACCTGCAATCTTCATTTAAGCTCTCCATCTCTCCCCACAACTGGATCTATGACTCTCCTGAAGCAGAAGATTATCTGCACAATAGCACACTCACTGTCCAAATCCTCCAGGGTACTGAACCTAAGCCACCCTCTGTCAACCCCTTTAGACATCTCACACCCACCTCTTGAAAGAGTTTTCCAAGATGGAGGCAAAGAAGGAAAACCAGCAGAGAAAGGACATCATGGTCTTACCACCACAATTGCACTCAGAAAAGAAAATGGAGTTTGCTATTTTCTGCAGGGATGGAGAGCTGTATCCGAAAGCATTACATCCCCTATTTATGTTGTGGATTTTTTGCAAGGCATTATTAGAAGGAAGCTTGACAGCTCTGCTGGGAAACTTGGCAAACACCAGGGCAGACCAGTCTCACTCTTCTACACAGCTGGATTTTCTGCAGCTCAAATATTTTTCCCTCCTGCTCTTGGCCCATCCAAAGATGAGTGCTGAATTTCCCTTAACATTACCCACAGGTTAATTTGTTATTACGTTTAGGCTCAGTTTAACATCTTGGCATGCAATTTAAATAAAACCAAAACCAAATGTCCTTCATTTCTGCTGAAACCACCCTCGGTTTGGCTCAGCTGCCTTTGGTGTCACTGGAGGGTGAACAGGAGATTCATTTTCGTCTTGTCATTTTTGGTAGTAACCTAAATATCCTCCGTGCAACTTTGAAATACATTGCCATAAAATAATTATTTGTCATGGAATGAGATTGGCCAGAATCTGAATATGATACATTGGCTCTGATTTAGCTGTCAAATACTTGTTACCGTAGGAAAGGAAGGTACAACAGACACATAAACAATAGGAGTCCAGAAGGGCGCACACAAAACTTACGCACGGCTTCTTACTAAAGGAACAACGGTGGGATTTCCCACCTTCCATCCAGACAGACTAAAGGAAGGAGTACTTGAAAATCCCATAGGTACAGCCCTGGCCCCTGTAAATTTGTTCCTGGTCTAATTATATACCTTACACAGTCTAACTGTGACACAGTGCAACCAGAGTGATGTCAAAGGAAAGGGAAAAAAGCTCGTAAGTATTACGAGTAAGTGCATATTACACTTAGCCTGGAAAGCAGTGAATGTGGATGCTGACCTTTGGGTTAACTCACTAACTGCACTAAGACAATGCAGGTGACTCTTCCAGTCAATTTTGTTTTCTTCTGCCCATGGGATGTTTACAGGCAGCTTTAAAAAGTCTTCAAAGTCACCTGCAGAAAGTACTGGTAATCTCATTCTGCAAATTTCTGTCTGACTAGGAATTATCACATTCTTCACTGTTTTTTCCAGTCAGTGTTCAAAGTGTGTTAGTTTGAGCTGATAAATCAAGTTATATGATTTCTTTCTGTTGATCAAATAATACTGTTTAAGGGCCTTTCCAAAATACCAATGTTTACAAGTTCAGCCGCAGGAGATTGCTTCATGTGCAGAGACAAAACCATTACCAAAGTATTTAACTATTAAAATCCTTGAGATAGACACTTGAACTTTAGAGAAAAATATAGCAAGTTCAAAGATTTTGAAGTTGATGTCATTTTTATGGACCTATGCTACAGCATAAACAAAAGTAGAATTTGTCTCTAACTACTACTGTCAATCATTTAAGAGAATGAAGCCTCTTCGTGCTACTCAAAATCAAAACACAGAGTGGAAAATAGGGTGGGATCAAACAGAAAGATTTATGTGTGCTGAACTGAATATTTACATAAGCCTCCTAAAATTGAAGTTATTTATCAATCTGCTAGATTTATGAAATCATAACAAACATGCCACACTGGTAATTTCACTTGTAGGCTTTAAATAAAAGTATGCTACTGTGGCATCGGTAAAGAAAGAAACAGAAGGATGAGTTCTTACTTGTGCCCAAGTTCATGTGCAATTGTAAATGCCAGATTGAGACCGTTGTCTTCAGCAAGAACACACTTTCTCTTGGCACTGCAGACACCTCCCAGGTAAGCAATTCCTGCAACAGAAGCACAGAGAATGTTCCCATCAGAATCAGTGAAACAGCTCATTCACTCAAAATGTACAGCAGTAACTCAACCAAAATGACAAAAAATGTGTCCAGTATGAAAAATATTAGAGCAGTTTGCACATAAAATCATCTGAGTATTTTGTTCATCGTCTTATTGAAAAATCAGTCTAGAGTTTTGTCAGACAGGACACAAGTTAAACACACTCACCTTCACTGCTTTCATTGGAAAATACATTTCACTGTCCATACAGACTCAAAAATTCATCTAAGCTTCCCTATTAATGCCGCCTACTACAATGTTAGAAGATGCAGTGAAGTAGCCTTAACAAGCATGTAAATGGAGTTCTCCTGATTTTCAGGATAAAGCTGGGGAGAAGGGATAAAACAATAAAAGCAGACTCTCTGAAAAGATCTTACATTTTCCCTTATTTTCATATTTAAAGCAAGCAAGAGTGGCAGAGTCAGAAAAGCTGGCAAACTCCCGATGGTGAGTCACAAAGCCAATGTAGGTGGCAGAAGTCTCCTATGACTTAGTGGAATTTAGGATTTGATCCCATGGACAATCGCACAGTACTCTCTAGGCCTGTTTGTGTGGGCACCACAAATGGTTGTAGGCTGAAGTCAAAAAGGAATGAAACTTCTGCTACGGAAAACCAGCAGTCCTCATATGCCCTTCCTGCATCCAGACCGTCCCCTGCAGAAAGAGCCATTGTACTTGGAAACGCTGTGATGGCACCGCAGCCCACGCACAGGACAATTTGCTGATGAGGTTTGTTTCATCTGCCACCTAGAAACCACAGTCAAGCCACTCGGAGTTACGCACAAAGATTAAAGACAGAGACAGAGCCTAAGGATGTCTCTATTTATCCAAGTCCTCCACTGCTAAACGGGCGCATCTCAAAAGCCACACAAACAGTTCCAGTGTGCATACAAAACAAGATTTCCAGATAGCATGCAGCAACCTAAATGCCGAGTTCATCCTGCCACTTCACACATCCTTCTGCCATGCTGGAAGAAGCAGCGTAAAGACCTTCCACAAACGCCTTTCAATTTTTTCACAGCAGATATATTTGGTTATATTTAACAGAAACCAAGAAATCCAGTTCCTCACTGTAATACTGTTCTCACAGAGGGATAGCTAGGACCTAGCTGCCTTTAATGAGTAGACCACAACCCTGCAATGGAGACATGATCTCCTTTTTTTCTTTTTCTTCTGTCAGAGTTGACAAAGCTGTGTTTATCAGGGTGCAAATGGTGTAAAACTTTAGACCTGGAAGAAGTCCATTTCTCTTTTTATGAGTTTTGACAACAATATGGATATGGATATTTGTTGCCAAGGGGATTCTGGATGGAATGAAGGGACGGGCAATAGCCTTTTAATTCAGCACTAGCAGCAGAGAGTGAAGGCAGTGCAGAAATCAGACACTAACATTTGCTTATTTTAAAAGTGCTGACTGTGGAAGGCCAGATTCATACCGCATGCGAAAAATGAAATCAAGATTTAATCTTTTTAAATCAATGACCATAGAAGGCTGGATTTCGGCACTCTTAAACTGACTTGCTTTTTACTCACAGCATAGTCATAAGGATGTCAAGAAATTGCTCAGGAAGTAAGATGCTACTTTGAGAAAGAGACTGCAACCTCATTCCACACACCTGATGGCCTAATGAACAGATCATAGAACAGAATCTCAACTGTAGATGTCTGAAGTGTGTCTTGGGCTATTAACATGCCTTCTGCTTCTTTCAAAGATCACAAAACATTTCTGGTTGATTTCTGAAAGGGAAGTAGGTATTTCTCCTGATTTATATCTGCTACCATGCACCCTTATGGTGACTTACAAATAATAATACCCTCACCAACAGAATCATAGAATCACAGAATCATACAATGCTTTGGGTGGGAAGGGACCTTTCGAGGCCACCCAGCCCAACCCTGCAGTGACAGGGACAGCTTTAACCAGAGCAGGGTGCTCAGAGCCCCGTCCAACCTGGCCTGGGATGCTTCCAGGGATGGGGCCTCCACCGCCTCTCTGGGCAACCCCTTCCAGAGCTTCACCACCCTCACTGTAAAAAATTCCTTCCTTATATCGAGTCTAAATCTATCCTCCTTTAGTTTAAAGCCATTACTCCTTGTCCTGTCCCAACAGGCCTCGCTAAAAAGCTTGCCCCCATCCTTCCTGTAGGCCCCTCTCAGCACTGCCAGGCCGCACTCAGGCCTCCCCGCAGCCCCCTCCTCTCCAGGCTGAGCACCCCCAGCTCCCCCAGCCTGGCCCCGCAGCAGAGGGGCTCCGGCCCTCGGGGCATTTCTGTGGCCTCCTCCGGACCCGAGGAGGTCCACAGTCTTTTGCTAATAACAAATAACAGTCTTTTGCTTCCAACCCTACCTGGGATCAGCAATTTCTGGGAATACTTTTGGAAGAAGGAAAATACTGTTTGCGAAAATGTTAGTTTATTGTAAAGCCAATAGCAGAAGGTCTGAGATTAAGAGGAACTGCCAGATTTTGGTTAAAAGGAAGCAACACCTCAGTATTTGAGTCACAGAAGATGAAATGGAACAATTAAGTGACTCAGGCAATCCTCTGCTTCTTTAGATTTGTGCCTTTGTGCATTTCTGAGTTCTTAAATCTCTTCCAGCGTGCATACGTGAAACAGGGTACTTGGGAGGAAGGATGCTTCGTGCCAAACTGCTGATCCACTCCATAGCTGCCTCTCTACTGGAGCATACTCTGTTGTCACAGGAGACAAAACTGTGGTGGCCCATCGGCTGCTGGTAATCCTGATCCCCAGCTGTGAGAGAGGAAAACTAGTGAGGGCTGTTGAGTTGGCCTTTACTCATTCGCTTGCTCAGCCCAGGCTCTTCCCACAGCGGTGTGCTATGACCCTGTGGCACAACTACCATCGATTCAAAAGTTGCTCCTGGAGATCCTTCTGCCTTTTGGGGATGAGGCAAACATAGCTCCTAATAACTCAGCTGAAATACACTTTTACTAAATAGGGAGGGATAATTTGGTTACCTTTCAGGAGTTTTAGGTACAGCCAACAGCAATGACGAGAGCAGGATTCTTACTGGAAGTGTTTCATCCCACTACTAAACCTGATTATTCTGCCTTTATCTTCCATTTAAGTAGGGCCAATTTATATCTTAGTTCTATCTGACACATGAGGTTTTAACTGAGAAGCAACAAAACAGCATTGCGTCTCAAGCTCAGTGGTTGATCAGGCAAGCCAGTTTAGCTTGAAATGATTCCTGCTAATTTCCTCCTGATAAATTTCATAAAATAAGGCTGAGTCAATGTTTGCTGTCACTTGGAGATGGAAGGGGGCAATATTTCCATATTTGGGAGATGTGGTGCAGCAAAATAGTCTAGAGTTCTGACAATATATTAAAAGAGGTTAAATATCAATTAAAATGTCAAATACATTACCTCAAATGGTAATTCTTCTGAAGCCTTTGCTTAGTGGGTCTAATCCCCACTGAAACTGACTGGCAGTAACACTGCTTGGTGCTAAAAGTCTCATTATTCAAAGGTGGAAAACTAACCATTGAGGACTTGCATCCATCAGTGATGAAAAAGTGACTGTGGCTCAGTTATAGACTCTTAGTCACCTTATTTTTATTAGTTATTTTCAATGCTTAATGTGAATCCTGCGTGGCCGTTTTATAATATTTGCAATGACCAATTAAAAAATGTAGACATCTAAAATCAGTTTACTATTACAATTATTAAAGACTCCTGTTGCAGTGGGGGCCAGGGATCAGACAATACAGGAACAGAAGTGGACTGGGCAGGGAAACTCATGATCCTAGAAGAGCAGACAGCAGAAAACTTTGCAGTACCTGAAATGTATTCAGTAAGAAGTCCAGCTCATGAACTGCTGAGTGCTTGTTAATAAGAGTCATTCTGGAACAGCAAGCCAGTTATAACAGATTGTTATAACATTTTAAACCTGAAAAAGCTTGCCTCAAAAACGTTTTTGAAATATATATTTTCTATCAAACTATTTCCTAAGACTATAATTTTCTTTTGGACCAATACATTTTACCATTTATTCTTTCATTAGAACAAAAATAGCAAACACGCTATTGATCTGCAAACATAATACAGTTCTTTAGTTAATATATCTGAACCATTAAGATAAATGCAACTTTTTTGTAACCCAATACAATGATCCATATAATTGATCTGCAGAGAAAAATACACCTTTAACCAACAATGATAGTAGTACAATGCCTTGGTAGCTGCATTAATAGGATTTATTTTCTTCATTGGGATGAATGGAAACTGTCGTTTGCCTCTTAAAATTCCAGATTTTCTGAGCTTTTCACGTCTGCAGAACTGGAATAGAAACTTCATGAATTCAGATATGTTCATGAAAATCCTGGCATGCTGTGGTTCTACCAGGCTGCGAATAATATAAGAGGAGCTTCTCTTATTTGGTAATTTTGCTTCTGGCCCTGTCTGGGAGACAGGTGCGTGAAAATGAAAAATAGGGAAGAAAGTTGAACTGGTTTTTTTGTTGGTTTGTTTTTTTTTTTTTTTTAAAACCCCCACACTTCTGTCCTCATGCAAATATACAGACAGTGGCTTTCTTCAGGGGAAAAAAAGTCCTTATCTTTCCAGATATACTACTAACTGCCAGCAATTAGCACAAATCTATTTTTAATACCAAAAAAGGTCAAGCAGGAGCATCAGTGGTAGAGGGAAAGGAAAGCCTATTACTATTTTTACTATTACTAAGTGTGAGGTTTTTTTCCTTTCTCTCATGAGAAATTGCACAATTACAGTCCATAACTTCTGTGCTTGGGTTTGAACACGCAAAGCTATCTACACTTCCACAGCAAACCTTAGGACACAGGCAACTGTGCAAACTCAGATTTATCCAAAAAGTTGTCATACATAAACAGTTTGCAGCTGTTGGCCTTTCTGCCAGCTAATGAGCCCTCTGCTAGCAATATCTCTAAGGGGAATGATTACATTTATCCT